ACTGGCACCGAAAAAAAACTGTGCCAACTTAAAATATTTTCGTCAATCTAGCACCGTTTTAATTTTGTACCAGCACCACACCGCCATAAGTTTTATTTTTGTTCAACATACATGCTTGCACAGATTTGTAAAACCTGCCGTCGTGGAGATATTACCATGCCAGCAGAAAAAATTTTAAATATCTTTTTTTTTTTTTTTTTTTTTTTTTTTTTTTTTTTTTTTTTTTTTTTTTACCTTCATTATATATTTATTTATTTATTTTATCTTCCTTTTTTCCCACTCTCTCCTTTCAAGGAAAAAGCCCCCTAAAACAGTACTTAAACTGTTTGAAGAGGCATAAAAAACCTTTGAGAGAGTGAAGAATTACATTAAATATAAAAATTGAATAAAATTACAGTAAAATTAATGTTACAGCAAAAGAGATCAATGAAACATTAAGTTTCCTTTAAGATCCTCTTTGAAAGAATACCGAGTGTAGGCATTATAAAATTAACGTGCGAATAATATTTAAAACAAGCAAATTCAAATAAAAAATTTTAAAGACCAAAAAATATTTGAAATGAGATTCGAAAATTAAATCAGTAGTGGAGAATGTATCGTCTCGGTAATTTTAAAATATGTAAACATACATTTAGAACAAAGATTGAATAATTAGCCATGTAGTGATTGAATATATAGGAAACAATTGCAGGAATTCAGATAAGTACCGCAAAATAATTAAGCTGGACATTGTAATTAAAAGGGTCTACATATTTTAGGTAAAATCATAAGTATTTTGAGAGAAATTGTCCGTTGAAGCAGGAATCCAGAAACATATCGTTACGGAGATAATCTTTCGTGGCTCGCTTGAATGAGTGGATGTGATGTGATTTCTGTATCTTCTCTGGCAGTTCATTAAAGATTTTTGCACCAATTGAAGAGATACGTCTCAGTCCATATTGTGTTCGTGAATTTTGTGGCTTAATGAATTTTCTCGATCTGGAGCTTCTGGGAATGGAGAATGAGAACTGTAAGTTATTGTGATACTTATTTTTGATACAATTGAACATAAGAGATGCTGTATTGACATAAAATATTGCTCTAATGGGAAGAAAGCTATTGACTTTGTGTAGGTACATCTGCACTCTATTTTCTGTTCTGTCTAGGCAATAAACATTTCTAAGCGCACGATTTTGGACAACTTGTAGTGACTTTAAAGCTGCATCACTCGCACTTCCCCAGATTGGGGTCAAGTAATTCAAATGCGAATCGATTAAAGCAGTGTAGATTGACTTTTTGGATGATGTTGGCAATTGTGTTTTCAATTTCCAGAGTATTCCAGCTGCACAAGATATCTTTGATTCTACGTGTTTAATGTGATCTTCCCATTTCAATTGTGGATCCATTATAAGACCCAGATATTTCACTTTGTCAGCTCTTTCAATCACATAAGACCCAGCTATTTTCACTATGTCATCGTCTGTCGACTCAATCAATATTGTTTCCGGGACGTTGACCTTATAATAAGAAGAATGAAAGATTATGAATTTAGTCTTTGATTGATTGAGAATTAGATTCTTGTGACAGAAAAAATTAATTATTATTTTCATGTCTTTGCAGATCTTTAAATCGATTTGTTCGTTCTGGTCATGAGTGTTGATGAGTATACAGTCGTCGGCGTAAAGAAACAACTTTCCAGATAACTGCAAGCTAGAAATTGAGTTGATGAATATGATAAAGAGCCAAGGACCAAGGATAGATCCCTGAACCACTCCACGAGAGAACTTAATAGAGGAACTGATATGTTCACCGACTTTGACGACTTGCTCGCGATTTGTTAGGTAGCTTTGGATTAAATTGAGCGTGTTTCCTCTAATTCCTGTACTAGATAGTGTTTGTATAAGTTTATGAACATCGATTACGTCGAAGGCTTTTTGTAAATCCATCGTGACCATTGAGACCTTTAATTTTTTATCAATGGCATTCTGTATATGCTGAACGAGTTCGGTGGCCGCAATTTCTGTGTTACATTTAGGGCGAAAACCATACTGTTGGCAGTAAATTAGGTCCAAATAGTCATGCGTAAAGCTTTGAAGGCGATGAAGAAGAATTTTCTCGACTATTTTGTTGAGTATGGGAAGAATTGAAATTGGTCGGTAGTCGTTGATGTTCGTCTTGTCGCCTGTCTTGTTTATTGGAATGACTAAAGCTGTTTTGAAGCATTTCGGGTAAATAGAAGTTTCAAACATACGATTAATTAAGTGAGAGAGCAGAGGTGACAAATCATTAGCCATAAATTTGACCATTTCGACTGTGATACCATCAACTCCAGGTGAAGATTTCTTGAGTGAATTAATTGTCGTGAGAACTTCTTCCTCACATGTCGCATCTAAGATCATCGTTTTCTCTACAGAGTGTGTGTTTACATCAAACAGGCTTGGCTTTAAATTGTTGCTTAGGGATGAAACACTCTCAATGAAGTGATTATTTAGTAGCTCAGAAATTTTTTTCTCATCGACAATCAAATCTTGTTGGTTATTAAAGATGGCATTCACTTTATCTTTGGATTTTCGTCCTAACATTTCATTGATGTTCCTCCACATTTTTTTTGGGTCGTTTTGGTTGAACGAACTTTCGATAAATTTCTTTTTTTCTGCGGCAATGATTGAATCGACTTTTTTTGTGTGGACTTGAAGTTTGAGTTTCAAGTTTGTGTTCCTTTTGTTTGTTCTAAACTTCCTAGCGATCTTATCCTTGGCTGCAATAGCTTTGGCTATTGGAGGATTATACCAGGAACAAAAAGGAATATTTTTTACATTCAATTTCCTGACAGTTGTGGAGTTTGTAGCTGCATTTTTTAGAGCTGTAACTATGGATTCGGCTATTATGTCTGGATTCTGTTCTTTCAATAAAGATTTGCTCTCGCATTGTTTGCTGAAGTCAGCCTTTAGTTTTTCATAATCTATTTGCTTAATATCCATTGTTCGTTTTTTCTGTTGTATTTTTATGCCTTCTAGGTTCGTGAGGATGATATTGTGGTCGCTCAAGTTGTTGGAAATAGTAGAATTAGTGACAGTATAATGGTCTGAGAAGTTTGATACGACGTGATCAATGATTCTGCCACTAGCGTTTCTAGACATGTGTGTGTTTAAAATTTTGAAGTCGTAAGAGCTCAGAAGTGACACGTATCGTTGGGAGTCTAGTGAATCACCATTAGCATCCAAGTTTATGTCGCCTAAAATGATTGTTTCACACGAATTGTATCTTTTTCTTAAAGTTTTAAATCAGTTTTTAATTTCATAAAAAAACTTTTAAACCATTTAAAGTGATTTGGTATTTATTTGCCTTTATAAATAAATAAACAATTACATCCCAACTACAAAGTAAGTTTTGTGATTTGATGTACAAAAAAGGAATGCATAATAAAAGGCAAAGAAAGTCAAGCAAAATTTTTTTTTAAGTTTTTTTGTGTTTTTTGCTAGTTTTGGGACATCATTATTTTATTGGACGCTTCGTCAATCATTATTAAGGACCTCAATCATCAAGTACACAGTAAGTAGAGTGTATAAGGACTTAAAATCAATAAAAAAATAAATCACATTTAATCGCGGCGTCGATGTGGCATATTCGTTGATTCTAATCTACTTCTGCGCCGCAAAAATATGCAAAGTCGCACAAAAATTTTATATAAGTTTCTTTGTGTTCTGTTGCTAGTTTTGGGACATCATTATTTTATTGGACGCTTCGTTAATCATTATTAAGGACCTCAATCATCAAGTACACAGTAAGTAGAGTGTATAAGGACTTAAAATCAATAAAAAAATAAATCACATTTAATCGCGGCGTCGATGTGGCATATTCGTTGATTCTAATCTACTTCTGCGCCGCAAAAATATGCAAAGTCGCACAAAAATTTTATATAAGTTTCTTTGTGTTCTGTTGCTAGTTTTGGGACATCATTATTTTATTGGACGCTTCGTTAATCATTATTAAGGACCTCAATCATCAAGTACACAGTAAGTAGAGTGTATAAGGACTTAAAATCAATAAAAAAATAAATCACATTTAATCGCGGCGTCGATGTGGCACATTCGTTGATTCTAATCTACTTCTGCGCCGCAAAAATATGCAAAGTCGCACAAAAATTTTATATAAGTTTCTTTGTGTTCTGTTGCTAGTTTTGGGACATCATTATTTTATTGGACGCTTCGTTAATCATTATTAAGGACCTCAATCATCAAGTACACAGTAAGTAGAGTGTATAAGGACTTAAAATCAAATAAAAAAAATTCACATTTAATCGCGGCATTGATATGGCACGCTTGACAATTACAAGTCAGTTCAACGCCGCAAAATCATAAAAAGTCGCACGAAATATTAATATAAGTTTATTTGTGTTCTGTTGCTAGTTTTGGGACATCATTACACTATCGGACGTCTCGTCAATGATTGCGGAGGACTTTAAGCATCAAGTACAAAGTAAGTAGAGTGAATAATGCGCGAAAATTTGTAAAATAAAATTCAATTTTAATTGCGTCGTCGATTTAGCACGTCTGTTGATTCGATGCCACTTCTGCGACGAAAAAATATTGAAGTCACACTAATTTTTCGTATAAGTTTTTTTGTTTTGGTTTGCAGATTTTTGGACATCAATAGAATATTAAACTTCTCACCGGCAATTTTGATTTCAACTATCATCAAGTTCACAATTAGAAGAATCCAGAAGAATGTTTAAGTGCCAAAATTTGTAAAAAAAATATTTGAATTTAATTGCGGCTTCGATGTAGCATGCACTTATATTTCATTTAGATTTCGTTCAAATTCTCTAAATTCTATGCAAAGATCATTTTTAATTTTAAAGATATTTGCCAAATGAACGAGAGAATCCCAAAATTGGCTCACAAAAGTCCATGATGATCTAAGCAATACGACAACTACATGACATAATTCTTTTTCTTTCTATTTTCTAATTTCAAATAGAACTTTCTGACTACTCATGGGCCTCAAACTGAAACCACGAAATGAAACCTTTCATTGATAGTGATCACTATTTAAAAAATCACTCACGAGTTTTAATGGACATGTAAGTTGATTCTTAAAGAACTCTTTTAAATTTAAATAAATAAAATGTTCTTTAATTTACAGGGTCGAAGCAAGTTTGAAATTTTACTCAGGCAGCTTTCATAATTAAACATCAGAAACCTCGATTTTTAAACTGAATGCACAAAATTGGAATAATAGACAGTAAAAAACAAAAAAGGAGTAAATGAAAGATAAAAATCATGGATAAATCTAAACTATCAAAAGGAAAAAAAACATAAGATAAAAAAATTAAATGATAAAGGCAAAAAAACGCACCTACATAAATTTTAAATTAATAAAAATTAAAATTTTATCGAACACAATTTTTTGTATGATTTTGGCACAGTTTTTATTTTTCAGGCAGCATAAAGTCGGCTCCAAGCCGGCACCATATCAGATTCTGTGCTTTTTTATATATACAAACCGGCATAACGATAGCGTGGAGAAAGATCCACGCTGTCATGGTTTAGGAAATAACGATAGTGTGGTGCTGGCTTAGCGTCAAATCTACGCGGCATGGTTTTTAAATTACGCTAGCACCATGCCAGAAATTCCATTGTTCTTTTGGCGCACAATCCGGCATGAGTGCCAGCACCAACCTGGATTGGTGCTAAATTTGTTTAACGGTGAAAGCATGGTGCTAGCACCATGCCAAAAATTTGTGCTGGCGTGAAAATCCATGCCATGTGTATGCCGTCTCTGTGCTGGCCCCGTGCCAGTAGTGTGCCTTTCGGATAAAGTGCTCAGCAAAACTAAGCATTGTGTAAGCATCCTAATATCAATTTTCAATGCACAATATCTTACTACCTGAAATTCTGCAAGACGTCAAAAGTCATTTCAATCCCTAAATCCAACACTGTATCTTCGAACCCTACCGAATATCGTCCGATATCACTGCTGTCAACTTTAAGTAAGGTCTTTGAGCAATTAATTTTAGATCGTCTAATTGAATTTGAGGATCTGTCTGATCATTCAACTATTCAACAAATATTAAGAATCACTGAGAAAGCACGTTATAAACTTCCTAGACGAACTTACCATTATTACACTAAGATTTGTTTCTTTCACTTCAAAATACAATACGCAAATTCTCATTTAATAATATGAATTAAAACCGCAAAGGTTGGTATCATTAATCAAACATTCACCCTTTTAAAATCACATTACTATGGGTCCTCGATTTGAGTAACAAAAATTAAAAAAATAGAACATTTAAAATATGTTTTTATAACGGACATTTTTTAAACAAAAATGATTCGGATTTGAAAAAAGTATTTAAAAATTCCTTGTGTACAATATTTTTCTGACACATGTGCAATTCCATGGATGTAATTTTCCAAAAAAAATTCTCAAAAATGAGCTATCTAGACAATCCAATAACTAGTTATGAGTATGTAAATCAATGAAATCTACTTAAATATACTATATATAAAAAAATACGTTTTAATTCCATACATTTAAAAACATTTGTTCTATTAATCTTTTTTGCAGATTTATTATTGAAGAGAACACATGATGAAACTAACGACATTTTAGAATTTGAAATTTATAAAAAAGTCAAAAAAATGATTTTTCGTAAAAATGATATGGTCGTAAAAATGTGAGTTCGTAAAAATGAAGTTTCGAAATTTTAAAATTCGTTATTTTAATAGGCGCTCGGAAAAATCAATCCGTGGAATTGCCCTTATAGGATAAGATCAAAGTGTTCGAAACTTTGTGAACGATATTTACAAGGATATAAAAATTAATCAAATATAGTCTGAAAATTCAAAACCAAATTCTTCACAACCCAGAAGATAAGATATAACGCGAAAAACGTGGTTGTTAAAAAACTTTTTTTTTTTATAAAGTATTTATATAATTTATGACTGTATTATATCCATCTGTTTTCCTTCACATTCCTCGCAATGTTTTTTTCTTTCGTCTTATGCCGTATATGAATATTAAATTATTTTTTCTCGGTGTAATAAAAACATCATGAAAATGAAAATTATGGTAAATATGCTCAGTGAAATAATAGGAGAGGTTCATATGATGAACTTTTTTGTTCTTTGAGTAATGCAAAAGTAAAGAATTTTTGTTGAATGAAATAAAAATTTCAGGACTTTGCTTGAAAGATAATTAGTGTATCGGGTAGAAACCCAATGCGGATATAATCACACCGTACCATCAAAAGTCTTGTGGATAAACCAAGCTTTGCTCAGCATTAGTTTGAAGTTTAAATCCTAACAGTAAACTTTAGTTTTTAAAAATTCGGAAGAAAGGAAGGTTTTTGCTTTTTCTGAAGCAACGGCTGTTCATAGCTTGCCCAAAAACAGTACAGCTCTTCTATAGGGAATCACGGATCTAATGCTAAAAACCAGAATTCTACATGATGTCTCGATATTGAGATTTCTGTATATGTTTAGATATTTTGCTCCATTTCCCCACAAAATTCGAAAAAAAAACTGATTTTTTAATCTGAACAAAAACAATACATTCACACTCAACAGGACTCAACCGCCTGTGCGTGAAGTACTGCCGAGACTCCTTTCGAAATACTTCTTAAGTTATACCTGATTTATATTACACTTATATCAGTTACAAAAATACTAAGTTTGATTTTTTCACATTTGGAAACCATAGCTGATTTTGTTCAAAATCTCGGTTCTCGAGGGTGGCAAACTTAGTGTTTTTGTAACTGAAATAAGTCTGACATAAATCAGATATAACTTTTGAAGTTTGTCGAGGGGGGTCTCGGCCGTACTTCAGGCACACATCGACCGCAGTTAACTGAAAATTAATCACAATCAAAGGAAATATGAAAAATGGAAAGCAAGGTAAGGGAGTGCTCGTTTACTTATTACGTTACGCAAAAAAGACTTTCAGACCCCTTCTCCTCCCCCTCGTTACAATATATCCCAATCCCCCTAAAATAAGAACGTTATATGTGAACGATCCCTAATAAATAATTCACAAAAGTGATGGCTAAAAATTAATTGATCTGTACTTCTGTATTGGCTAGCCATCTTATACATTTTTTTAAAAAACATTTTTTATTATACTAGTTTTGACCCTTATTGCTTGTATAATAGAAAAGCAGAAATATTATATTCCTTTTTAAATCAAAAATGCCTGGTCCGCCTCTTTCTGATGAATGCATCATACCGTGAACGGTATAAAAAAGCTAATGATTTTTTTTATTTCTTCCATTCTTGATTGTAAATTAAAAATTCATTTATTGATCGAAATAATTTTTTATTGCATGTATCATTTCTGCAAAATTCAATTTTTAATTAAGGTTTTTTTTCATACATATATGTATACGTAAAGGTTGTATACGTAAAGTTTTAATTTTGTTTTTTGTTTTTTTTTTTTTTTGTATACTTTGTTCATAGAGGAGTACATTGAGATTGTTGAGAAATGTTGCATAAAAAGGTGGAAATTATTCATTCATTGTGTTTTATGTTGAGGAAAAGCCAAAAAAAGAAGAGAGAGAGAGAGAGAGTCAAAGACAGAATTTTATGCGCAGCTATAAAGATATATGAACAAACGTATGTATACAACATAGGATGTGGAGAAATGAATGGAAACTCGCTGTGTGGTTTTAGAGTATTAAAAATATTAAAGCATACGAAGTATAAAAGAAAAAAGTTATTACGAATCTCCATATTTTTTTATAAAATAATATGAAAACGGATGTGGTAGACGTTAATGAGAACAATTTCGGATCGTTTGTCTTAAAAATTAAGATTTTGGAGAATAATTTAAGAATGTTGATAAATTCATAAAGTAATTTTATGAATACGAAAAATCACTATTAAATAAAAAAAATAATTGAACCCAAGTTTTCCAAATCTTCTTTTATGCTCTTTTATGTTATAAAAATTTAATTGCATCTTATTTTATCGCTATTATTTATCTCTATTTTAGCATTTTTTTTTTTTTATATAAATGATAAAGTTATTTAAAGTGGAGTGGAAATTTTTTTTGTCAGTTTTATTGATGTTTACATCATCATAATACTTTACTTTTTCGATTCCTTCTCCGGCCATTTCCAATGCACACGTTTCGTGACAAAAATCTTTAAACGCTAACGGAAAGAAAGTTTTTTTTCTTTCCCCTTACTTTTTCCCGCATTAAGATATAAATTTAATGCTTTCACTATGGCATGTGATTCGTGAATAGAATCATGGGGCGAGGATAATCTCCGGTTTTTGTAGATGGATGGATGGATGAATGGATGAAAAAGTATGTAAAATGAGAAAAATATCGGAAATTGATACCTTTTCTGAAGAAAAATAGCTCACTCGCATAATATAAATTTACACTCTCACACATTCTTGTACTTCTTTTTAGCGCATTTTTGAAAACTTGTTACGAAAAGGTAGCTTAATATTTCACTTTTTTCGGCTGTTCGGCTGCTCGGGTTTTGAGATCTCATCAACCAGACATCGTAGAAAGCTCGAGTTTGTTTTATTAGCTCCATTACTATCGATTTTTCGGCCCATTGAAATATGAATCTTTTAAAGTCAAGAAAATGGTTAAATGACAAATCCTGTTGTATCCAAGAGTTTTTTTGTTGTGGAAATTAATTTATTTGGTTAAAAAAGAATTGTTAAAAACCGGTAAAGGACAAAAAACTTTTTGCTGTACCTAATGTTTAATATTTTTAAAATACAACGAATATTCTTTGATAAAGGCAAAATTTTAGAGCTATTAACTTATCAAATACGGATCGCTGCGTCAAAAATGCGCTTAAGTCCCTCGATTAATAGCACGAAGACTTTTGTAATGTTTTTCTTAAATATACCCAGAGTTCCAAATATATTCTATTTCTTTAATGATAAATGATTTCGATGATTCTTTCAATTCTTTATTTATAATTGATTGTATATTGAATCTTTTTGAAATAATAAAAGTTTTATTGGTTTTTTTTTATTTTTTTATTCAAGAAGATATATTTATTTGGCTATTGGAATTTTAATCATATTTTGATGTAAGAGAGTACATCAACGAGTAATCTTGAAATTGTTTATTTTGTCAAAATTTATTTTAGAATTAAAACGTCGACATTTTTTGCTATGGATTAAGACTCTTAATTTTAGAAAAATTTATAAGTTTAGAATT